GAGTCGTGTTAACGGCGAGGCTATGTGGGAGAAATTGGCAATAAACCTTTGGTAGTATGCACATAGGCCAAGGAAACGCCTGACTGCTTTCTTGTCTTTTGGTACCGAAAATTTTCTGACGGCCGCAATCTTATCGGGATCAGGTCGAACACCTTCATAGCTCACCACATGGCCTAAAAATTGAAGCTCCTTGAAACCGAAGTGACACTTCTCGGGTTTCAGTGTCAGGCCGGCAGATCTTATTGCCCTGAATACCGATAGCAGCCTGCTCAGGTGTTCCTCAAATGTTTTTGAAAAAACAATGACGTCGTCCAGAAAGACCAGACATGTCTGCCACTTAAGGCCTGACAGAACGGTATCCATCAGTCTCTGAAATGTTGCGGGGGCTGGGCACAATCCAAATGGCAAGACTTTAAGTTCATAAAGCCTGTCAGGCGTTACAAAAGCCGTTTTTTCTCTATCTCGCTCGTCGACCTCAATTTGCCAATACCCATTTTTGAGGTCCATTGACGAAAAGTAGCGTGCATACCTCAGCCTGTCGAGTGAATCATCGATGCGCGGTAATGGGTATACGTCTTTCTTTGTCACACGGTTCAGCTTGCGGTAGTCGACACAAAATCGCAAGCTTCCGTCTTTCTTTTTAACCAGCACTACCGGCGATGCCCAAGGACTTCTTGACGGCTGTATGACGTCATCATCGAGCATTTTCTTCACTTGTTCTTGGATTGCTTCACGCTCTTTCGGTGCTACGCGGTATGGGTTCTGTCGTATTGGCCTTGCCGTCTCCTCCGTTATTATCCGATGCTTCGTCAGTGGCGTTTGACTGACCCTCGAGGTCGATGAAAAACAGTCTTTGAACTGGTGTAGAAGATCTACTAGACGCTGTCTCTGCGCTGGTGACAAATCCGAGCTTACGTCAATAGGTGGTGGGGCTGACGTGGCTTGCGGCTCGTCCTGTTGTACTACACAGCACTCGCGAATTTCGGTGATCTCGTCAAAGTAGGCAACTGTAGTGCCTTGTGTAATGTGTCGTCGCTCGTTGGTAAAATTCGTCAACAGAACCTCTGCTTCACCGCACACAACATTGACGATACTTCTGGCAATTGCAACACCGCGAGAGAGTAGGAGCGTCAATACTTGTTCAGCGATTCCTTCTCCAGTATTCTGCTCGCTGCACGTGACTGAAACAAGGCGGCACGATAACGGAGGTACGGTCACATCGTCAATGACTCGTAGGGATTTTCGGTGTAGCGCTGTGCTTTGATCCGCTGAAAAGGTCAGTACACCGTCCGGAATATTGATGATGGCACCATATTCACGCAAGAAATCCATCCCCAAGATTGCCTGTTAACAACACTCAGAAAGGATAACAAAAGTTGCGACGAAGGATGCATCCCCTATCTTCATTCTTGCGGTGCACTTTCCGGTAGGTGTGAGTAGCTGCCCTCCAACTCCTCTAATCTGCGGTCCTGTCTATTCCATTCTAACCTTCCTGAGCGTGTCTGCCAGACTCTCACTCATTATTGAGAAGTCCGCGCCAGTGTCGACCAATGCCATGACGTCATGTCCGTCAATCGTAATTGCAACTTCGGCAGTAACAACCCCATCTTTCGTCGATTCATTGAAAATGTGCCTCTCTTCGCTCGGCAGTAATGGGCGATTTTCAGCACTTCGACGATTCGCAACCTTCGCCCCTGAGGTCGCAGCTTTTAGTTTCCCCGGCGTGGACTAGGAGATCTCCCTCTTGGCATGTCAGTGGTGCTCCGTCTAGAAGATGGAGAATAACGCCCAGGAGAGGGTGAGCGTGACCGAAACCCAGGAGGAACGTCCCGCGGGGTCATGACATTCGTGTCGACGTCAGGTGTTCCGTTGAAATGGCGCCGAGGAACCGTAGAAGGAAACCCTTGGTACCCTGCGGCGCGATACGGGCAATACCGAACGATGTGGCCTGCTTCCCCACAGTGAAAGCACAGGGGCCTATGATCAGGGGTACGCCAGATGTCAGTTTTGTGAAGTGGTGGCCGCCTCGGCATCGAAGTTTCTCTGTAGTACCTAGGCGCTGTCGGCGGATGTTGCTGGTGGTACTGATGTGGTGTCGGCACGTTCGCTGGCTGTCGGCGGACTACGTCTGCATAGCTTGCCCTGGGAGTGCTCGTGTTCGGCTCAGAAAGCAAGAGCGCTTGCCTGATCTCCTGGCGTACAACTTCCGTTACTGAGGCGATCGCGCAGTCATTCGGTTTGGCGATGAGTTTCTTGACCTCTTCTTGTACGATTTCTCGTATTAGTTGGCGCAAAAAACTTTCGTCGGGTGTTGTTGCTGTGGTAGTGGCTGCCACGCTGATCGGTGCAGTGTGGGTTGGGCGGTCATACTGGCGATAACGTAGATGCAGTGCGCGTTCGATAGATGTCGCCTCCTTGGAGAATTCATCCACACTTGTAGGCGGGTTTTGTACGAGACCAGCGAACAGCGGCTCCTTAAAGTTCCACATGAGGTGGCTAACCTTTTTGGCTTCGGGCATATTAGGATCTGCTCGACAAAATAGCCGCGCCATGTCCTCAACAAACATTGTAACGGATTCATTTGGTTTCTGAATCCGTGACTCGAGGAGACGCTGCGCGATTTCTCGTCTTTCAGTGCTCGCGAACGTGTCGAGGAACTTCTGCCGGAACTCGTCCCAAGACGACCACACGCGATTTGTGAACCATGTTCGGGCTCCGTCTTGAAGCGGAAAATAAATGTAGCCGAATTTCTGTGTGGTGTTCCAACAGTTAACATTCGCTGTGTGCTCGAATTCCTCGAGCCAGTCATGTGCATCCTCATATGCGTTTCCGTGGAAGTCAACCGGAAGTCGAGGGTTCAAAACAGTCACCTGTGTCGTGCTTGGGCTGGACATGTTGGGGCCAGTGCTTCCAGGCGCCGTCATGCTTTCTGGCACAGTCACGCTTTCCGGCAATGAACCAAACTCCGGGCTGAGGCTTAACAGGCGCCGGCTGCTGCGGTGAACGGGGGTGTCGATGCGCGGAAGTCTTTCTTGACCAGATGCGGGGCTGTTGTCAGGCGTCCCGAACATGTACCCAGCACTTCCACCAGTGTCACAATGCAGAAACAGCAGCAGTCGAATCCAGGAAACTCGCTTTAATTGTACCAGAACACTGGCAAACTGATCGGAAGAGAACCTCGTCTTCTTCTCTCGCTGCGCGTGTTCTTCGTTGTTCTCTTGGCGCTGCTTATTCAATGTGGCAATATTACAATGCTTTGAATAGTCGATACCAATAGTAGAGTATTCTAATTTGCTTTGATTTGAATTAAAATTCTTGGAAATTTTGAAGTATTCACAATAAACAAATAGGTGTATATTAGTACACATGGGACCACCTGTAAAGGTGCTTCCACTGCAGTGTAGAGGTGCTAAGCCATGAAATCCGCTCTGCCACCAAGCCCCCCTTCAAATTCAAAGCTGCACTGCAACACATTTAGAGCAGGGCCACAAAAAGCTGCCGATTGGTAGCCGAAGCTACCGATAACACACGAGCTAAATAATATAGCGCAACACAGGGCCTGAAATTCACAATAAATTCTCAAAGTCGGCTAAAATGTGCGCTCTTCTCTCGACACATGACGCCACAAGCCAAAAAATCACTCGTCACAGCCATTGCATCGTCCATTTGCTGATTTGAGCATAGCCCATTTGGTCGTTACTGGGCCGCCACTTCTCTATGCGTACGAGCGTGATAGCTGGTGTATTTGAAAAAAAGAAAAAACAGAGTGAAAAAGTGCTAAAGATCACAAAATGCCGCGACATATTTTCTTTCCCCCCTGCCATCCTTTCTGCTTAGCTTCCAATGATTTCGTTGAGACGAGAAGAGAATGAAATGGCAGCATGCAATGAATCTTTGCACCTCCGCTCTTACTGGACGGATTTTGAAATTTTTCGCGCCAGTGAATTCTTGTGGCAATAAGCTTCTTTAGTGAATCCATTTCATGGCTATTTGAAGAAGTGTTGCCGGGCACCTTAAGTGAACTTATTACCTTCCCACCAATTTATCTTTAAAGCTTAAAAAGCTTGCTATCACAGCTTATATGCTCTAAGTATAATTAATTTCATGATGTTATGTATTTTTACAGGTTATTACTTGCATCCTACTGAAAGTGAAATTTTGCTACTACTTAACATTGTTCCGACTTCCTTCAAACGAAAATAGTGGCATTTGTAAGAGGCCCTATCGCAATTAAAAAAAATATATTCCACAGGTTAGTTCGGTCATGATAAAAATGCCCATTTTTCTTTATATGTCATATATACTGTCTGAATTTGATTCGAAATTATTTGGTTAAAAGCACTATTCGCTTTGAACCTAAAAGTCACTTTCGCACAAGCCTACAACACATGTTTTAGACCTTGCAGGCATACTTTTATGCTTTTAAAATGAATCTAAATGTTCAAGAATATGTTCACTGCTCGGCATTAAATATCTGATCCTGGAATTACATTGTTGAATTTCATTAAAGTGGAACGGCAAAACAAAAAGTGTTTGTTGTGGCGAGAATATGTATGCACTTACTTCTACTGACTCCTGACATAGAATTGAGAATTTTTTGTTGAAGCGGAAATTCAGTTGTAGCAGCATTCATTATAACTGGATTTGACTGTAATTATTATTAATTCCTGCATTTTCCCATAATTATTATGAGTTAGAATTTAATTATATTTATTTATTTTGAAGTCGGTCATGTTCGGTTTACGCACAAAAAGAATCAACCCTCAGGTTCAAGATACTTGGGATATCTGTCATTGGTACACTTCGAGCAAAACAAAGTGTATTTTTAATTAATATAAACCTCAATGCTCCTGGATTTTTTTTTTTTTGCCACTAGTCCGAAGAACTAGAAAAAATAACTTGCACACATAAAAGTGGACAGAGCCCCACATTGGTGTTGGATATTGAGTTTTAAGCAGCATTTCCAATGAAATCTTTCATCAATGAAAATCTCTACTGACCTGACAGCACACATCGTCGACAGTGGCTATTACACCCTTTTCCAGATTATGCTCGGGGTCTAAGATCTCGGCTTTGACAATGGTGAAACTTTCATATGTAGGAACCCGAATGTTCAACCCGCCTGTTGTTCGGAGAGACAACAACTTTTCCAAAAATGTCACTGCTTCTTCCAATTCCTCTTCACACTGCGAGGATACAAACAGCAAGCATAATCAATACTGTCGCTCCTGTCAAGACACCAACATCAGGGAACCAATTACATTTTTATCGAACTGACGAAATTGGAGAAAAAGGAAGACATTTCCTAAACATAATTTTCAACTATCAGTTTTTTTTTAATTCTGCTTTGAAACATATAATCAGCTTCCCAGCGAACTGATCTTTTTGTTTTTTGCAATAACAATGTGCAAAATTTAGGCATTATCGCCCGCTTTTTTCTACTATGAAACTTTCAAGCACAGACTACTGATGGTTCATAGTCTTCTATATAACTACTAAATAACAAAAACTTACTCAAAAGTATTAAAATAACATATGTTAATAAAGGTAAAAAACAAGAACCTGGAAAGTGGCCAATATAGCAATTGTCACTAGAGCAGTATCTTGAATATACAATATGACATCGAGATTTTGATGAAGACAAAATTCTTCAAATCTATAGCCTACGGCAAAAATTTTACCCAGATCCGAGTATTGCAAGTATGTAAAGGCAATGCTCACTGTAACAAACCCATGTATAACAGTCTCGGACCCAACAGACCGTTATTTGGCCTAGGTTTGGCCCGTGTATTACAGTATTGACAGCTTATGAATTAAGTCGCTGGAGTTGCAAATATCCGCTCTATAAACGGTACTGCACTATAACCAAAACAACACTTTTCAAGGGCCGCAACTGCGAAAAACGTGTTGAGCAAGTAGCCTCCTGTGTCCAAGAATCGAAGCATACGATGTGTGGCGCTTACAACCATTTAAATTTCCGAATTAAAAAAAATAATGTTCAAGGACACGCGTTGCCAACTAAATGAACACAAAAGAAGGGGGTTGCAAGAAAAGAAAGTACCGTTGCGGAAATTTGTGACTACTGATCAAACTGCCTCGATTATGCGCATCACAAAGGGAAAATGTCAGATCACGTCCAGAATTTCACGTTCTGAAAGACACCAATCGTTCGATTGCATGGGCACGTACCCGATTTCTAGATGTTGCAATCGAATCGTGAGCCATCATTCGAGCACTCGTTTTCATTAACAATATGTATCCCTTCTCATCAAGTGCAACCACTGCAAAGGCGTTTGTTGAGTCCATAGGAAACCGCGCCTTATATTGCACGCGACCCCTACAGAAACGCAGCCAACGCTAATGATGATGTTTGATGTTTTGTGGCGCAAGGGCCATTTCACGGCCAAAGAGCGTCAGTTCATCTTACTAAAAATATGGACAATGATTGTGATAAGCGGCTGTATAAGGGCCATAAAATTCCTCGCGGTAAGGCGGGTAAAAACATACAAGTAATAAAATCATGACCATGCCGTGAAAGGTGGAAAGGTGTGTGTGGTGAGAATAGATGACAAGAGTTGGTGATTATAAAAAAAACGATGGTGGATATGAATGGCATTAGCACAAGTGCCTCACTCGTTCATATCCTTGCGTTCAAGGGCCGTGAGGCAAGTGCTTTCTTGTGTAGCCACCGCAGCAAAAACCTCTCTGGAGAGGTTGTGCTACGGAATGCCCGGGTATATGACATGAAAACTATGAATTTCTTTTAAAAACGCTAACAATGTTTTATGACTAAAAAGCGGCTCCCTACCGACGAACATTGCAGGGTGTAATGGTATATGTTGTCGGTAGGGTAATGGAAAATGTTGTTTTCTTAGAGTTTCTAAGTGTTTGCATTGGATTAACATGTGAAGGACTGTTAGTGCTTCACCACATCTGTCACACAATGGTGGATCGCCACCAGACAAAAGATATGTGTGTGTCGTGTATGTGTGTCCTATCCTGAGTCTCGTTAGTATTACCTCTGTATGACGCGATTTCGATATGGGCAGCCAAACACCAAGGTGTGGCTTGATAATGTGTAGTTTGTTTTGTATGTGTGTATCCCACTTGCTCTGCCAGTAGTCCCTGAGGTTTCGTTTGAGAATCGGCTTAAGATCAAGGGCCGGGATTGATATGGGTGTAGGGGTAGTGTTTTTGTGGACGGATGCAGCGAGCTGATCTGCCCTCACGTTGCCTTGCATCTCACGGTGCCCTGGCACCCAGCACACTACAACATGTTGTTTGAGTGTGTAGAGTGTGCACAAAATGGAGTAAAGTGAGACAAGGACTGGATTTTTTTGTTTTTTAAGAGTGTGCAGAGCCATTACCACACTGAGGGAGTCCGTATAAATTACTGCTTTTTGTATTTGTAATTTTTTGATGTGTTTAGCCGCCACAAGTATCGCATAAGCTTCCGCTGTGAAGATACTTGTGCCTGGATGTAGAGGGCCAGCATCCAAAAAGGATTGGCCGACAGCAGCGTAGGACACAGAGGAGTTAGACTTGGAGGCATCTGAAAAGAACTCAGGACGTATGTATTTGTGTTGAAGTTCCAGGAAGTGTGTTCGGATATGGGCAATAGGTGCATGTTTTGTAACTTCTAGAAAAGACACATCGCAGTCTATAGCCTGCCATTGCCACGGTGGCGGGTATGTTACAGGAGCCATTAAACTGTGTTCAAGTGAGACTCCAGTTTCCTCAGCTAGACTCTTCAGGCGAACTGAGAAGGGCTGCCTCATTGAAGGCCTGTTTTGAAACAGAATTGAGCTTGACAAATCATTAATAGTAGAGTATGAGGGGTGCTTCTTGTCTGTCTGCTTTCACCTTAAGGAAATAAACAAAGGACATGTAAGTTCTCTGCAGATGAAGCGACCACTCATTTGACTCAACATAAAGGCTTTCTACGGGGCTGGTGCGAAAAGCACCCGTAGAAAGGCGGATGCCCAAATGGTGCACGGGGTCCACCATCTTTAAAGCACTTTAAGTCGCAGACTGATAAACAACAGCCCCATAATCCAAGCGGGTGCGAATGAGGCTTCTATACAGGTTCATGAGACATTGCCTGTCACTACCCCATGTAGTACGTGACAACACTTTTAAAACATTCATGGCTTTTAAACATTTTGTTTTTAGATACTTGATGTGCGGTACGAAGGTCAACTTGTTGTCCAAGATTAACCCTAAAAATTTATGCTCCGCATTGACAGACAGACGTTGACCTTTCAATTCAATGTCTGGTTCTGAGTGCATGCCTCTCTTTCGGGAGAACAAGACACACATGCTCTTTTGTGGGTTCAGTCGGAATCCGTTTTCCTCTGCCCATTTGGAGACCTTGTTTAAACCTAACTGAACCTGCCGCTCACACATTACCCGATTGCAAGATCTAAAGCCAAGCTGGACGTCATCGACATATGTACAATAAAACATATTGCGAAGGATGGACAAGTGCAAGGAATTCATTTTGATGAGAAAAAGTGTGCAGCTAAGTACACCACCTTGTGGCACGCCAGTTTCCTGGACAAATGTTTGGGAAAGAACCGTACCCACTCGGACACGGAATGTCCGGTTTGACAGGTAACTTTCGATTATGTGAAACATTCTTCTGCGCACGCCAAGATGGGACAGGTCTCTTAGAATTCCGAAACGCCATGTTGTATCATAAGCCTTTTCGATATCGAGGAATACAGAGAGAAAATATTGTTTATGGACGAAGGCGTCCCTGATCTGTGCCTCGATACGAACAAGGTGGTCTGTGGTGAATCTACTTTCTCGAAACCCGCACTGAAATGGGTCGAGCAAATTGTTTCAAGGAAATGTACAAGTCTGCAGTTTATCATTTTTTCGAAGATTTTGCACAAGCAGCTTGTAAGTGCAATAGGCCTATAACTTGAAGGTAAAGAAGGGTCCTTGCCCTCTTTCAAAATGGGAATTATAATAGCCTCTTTCCAGGAGTTAGGGATAGTACCAGAAAACCAGATAGCATTGTACAAACAAAGTAAGGTTTTTCGTGTTTCGATTGGTAGGTTTTTCAACATTTCATACACCACACGGTCAGAACCTGGGGCAGAAGTACTGCAGGAGTTTAGAAATGTTCGCAGCTCAGCTAGACTGAAAGCTTGGTTATATGCCTCGTATCTGGTCCATTTGTGTTCGAGTTTCTGCTTTTCTATTTTTGTTCTGTATTTTTGGAAAGTATCAGTATAGTGGGATGAGCTGGACACCTGTTCGAAGTGTGCACCGAGGAAGTTTGCCTGATCTTCTAAGGTGTCACCCTGAGTGTTTACGAGTGGAAGTGTGTGTACTTGTTTTCCTGCTATCCTACCGACCCTGTTCCAGACTTTAGCCTCCTGTGTGTATGAATTGATACCTGACAAAAACTTCTGCCAGCTTTCTCTTCTGGCCTGCCGACGCGTTCTCCTGCCTTGAGACTTTATTTTCTTGAAGGTGTCAGGATTTTCGGCTGTCGGTGAGTTCCGAAGCAGCCTCCAAGCTCTGTTTTGCTGTTTGCGTGCTTTTCGGCATTCAGAGTTCCACCATGGCACACGCCGTTTTCAAGGGTGTCCATTTGTTTGTGGGATGCATTTTGTTGCAGCATCGATCAAAAACGCTGTGAAGTAGTTGACAGCAACATCAATGTTCAAAGTACATATGTCATTCCAACCTAGACGAGCGATGGTATAAAAGTGTTCCCAGTCGGCTCAGTTTATGAGCCACTTGGGAACACGTGGTGGACACTCAGTTACTCTTTTTGTGGTCAAAACTATGGTGAAGTGGTCACTTCCGTACAGATTACTGACGATTTTCCACTGGAGTAGAGGCACAAGAGATGGAGATACTATGCTTAGGTTTATGGAGGAGTAGGTGTTATTGGCGAGACTATAATAGGTTGGTTCTTTTCAATTGAGGAGACACGCGCTCAAGGAGAGAAGAAACTGTTCAATCAGTCGACCTCGCGCGTCATACCGAGAGTCACCCCATAGCCTGCTATGCGCATCAAAGTCTCCAAGGAGAACATAGGGCTCCGGAAGTTCATCAATTAAAGAGTGTAATTCACGCTTTTGCAGCTGATAGCTAGGAGGAATGTAGATAGTGCAGATTGTGATCAGTTTATCAAAAAGAACCGCTCAAACAGCCACTGCCTCAAGGG